ACCATGCACACACTCATTCATACACCTAAGGGCAATTTAGAGTGACCAATTAACCTAACAGGCATGTCTTTGGACTGTGGGAGGAAGCCGGAGTACCCAGTGAGAACCCACGCATGCACGGGGAGAATATACAAACTCCATGCAGAAAGACCCCCGGACGGGAATCGAACCCAGGACCTTGCTGCAAGGCAACAGTGCTACCAACTGCGCCACTGTGTGATTTTTAAATAATTTCCATTTTATTGTATGACAAATATTTGATACATCAGAAAAACAAAACTTAATATTTGTTACAGAAACCTTTGTTTGCAATTACAGATATCAGACGTTTCCTGTAGTTCACAAGGTCTGCACACACTGCAGCAGGGATTCTTGTCCACTCCTCCGTACAGATCTTCTCCAGATCCTTCAGGTTTCGGGGCTGTCGCTGGGCAATACGGACTTTCAACTTCCTCCAAAGATTTTTGACTGGGTTCAGGTCTGGAGACTGGCTAGGCCACTCCCGGACCTTGAGATGCTTCTTACGGAGCCACTCCTTAGTAGCTCTGGCTGTGTGCCACGATCCATCTTCAATGCCCTTACTGAGGGAAGGAGGTTGTTGGCTAAGATCTCCTGATACATGGCCCCATCCATCCTCCCCTCAATACGGTGCAGTCATCCTGTCCCCTTTGCAGAAAAGCATCCCTAAAGAATGATGTTTCCACCTCCATGCTTCATGGTAGGGATGGTGTTCTTGGGGTTGTTCTTATCCTCCTTCTTCCTCCAGACATGGCGAGTGGAGTTTAGACCAAAAAGCTCACATGACCTTCTCCCATTCCATCCAGATGGTCGTTGGCAAACTTCAGACAGACCTGGACATGCGCTGGCTTAAGCAGGGGGACCTTGCGCGCGCTGCAGGACTTTAATCCATGGCAGCGTAGTGTGTTACTAATGGTCTTCTTTGAGACTGTGGTCACAGCTCTCTTCAGGTCATTGACTAGGTTCTGCCGTGTAGTTCTGGGCTGATCCCTCACCTTCCTCATGATCATTGATGCCACACAAGGTGAGATCTTGCATGGAGCCCCAGACTGGGGGAGATTGACCGTCATCTTGAACTTCTTCCATTTTCTTATAATTGCTCCAACAGTTGTTGCCTTCTCACCAAGCTGCTTGGCTATTTTCCTGTTGCCCATCCCAGCCTTGTGCAGGTCCACTATTGTTATCCCTGATGTCCTCACACAGCTCTCTGGTTTTGGCCATTGTGGAGAGGTTGGAGTTTGATTGAATATTTCAAGCCTTTATTTCTTGTAATTTTGATGATTATAGCTTACAGAGAATGAAAACAAAAAATCCAATGTCTCAGAAATTTGAATATTGTAAAAAAGTGAAATATTGGAGAAATATCGCTGATTAACTCAAAACACAATCAAAGTTTTCCTGAGCTTCTAAACAGTATCTCACTCTGGGTCAGTAGGCTACACAATCATGCTGACTTGACAGATGTCAAGAAGACCATCATTGACACCCTCCGCAAGGAGCATAAGCCACAAAAAGTCTATGCTAAAGAAGCTGGTTGCTCAGAGTGCTGGATCCAATCGTATTCATAGAAAGGAAGGAAGAAGTCTGGTAGAAAAAGGTGTACCAGCAACAGGGTCAAGCAAAATCAAATCAAGAATTTAGGGGAGCTTTACAAAGTGTGGACCGACGCTGGTATCAGCACATCAAGAGCCACAACACACAGATAAATCCTACCTACACATGGGCTACAGATGTCACCTTCATGTAAAGCCACTCCTGAACCAGAGAAACATCATGACTGAGGAGAAAAAGAACTGAACTGTTGCTCAGTGGACCAAAGTTATCTTTTCAGATGAAAGTCAGGTTTGCATTTCATTTGGAAATCAAGGTCCCAGAGTCTGGAGAGTGGAGAAGCACAGAATCAATATTGCTTGAAGTCCAGTATGAAGTTTCCACAGTCCGTGATGGTTTGGGGTGCAATGTCATCTGCTGGTGTTGGTCCACTGGATGTTCTGAAGTCCACAGCCATCAACCAGGAAATTTTAGAGCACTTCATGCTTCTTTATGCTGAGAAGCTTTATGAAGGTGCTGATTTTATTTTCCAGCAGGACTAGGTACCGGCCTACACTGCCAAAGGTACCAGAAGCTGGTTCATTGACCATGATGTTACTGTGCTTGAATGCCCAGCAAACTTCTCTGAACCCCACAGAGAATCTATGGAGTATTGTCAAGATGAAGATGAGAGGCACCAGACCCAACAATGCAGATGACCTGAAGGCAGCTATCAAAGCAACCCAGGCTTCCATCACGCCTCAGCAGAACCACAGACTGATCGCTTTCATGCCGCATTGATGCAGTAATTCATGCAAAAGGAGCCCCAACCAAGTATTCAGTGCATAGAAATTAACATACTTTTCAGAAGTCTGACATTTCTGTTTAAAATATCCTTTTTTATTGATATAATGTAATCTAAGTTTCCGAGACATTAAATTTTTGGTTTTCATTATTTGTACGCTATAATTATAAAAATAACAAGAAATAAAGGCTTGACATATTTCACTCTGTGCAATTAATTTATATAATAAATGAGTTTAACTTAACAAAAATATTTAACTTTTCCATGATATTCAAATTGTTATAGATGTACTTGTAAAATGCTCTGATGGGGTACAGCAATAGAGGTACCAACCAGAGAATCTGTTAAAGAACTCAATATACCAAGAAGTATGTATATACTTTGATGAGTGGTTACTGAGATGAAACCCATCCTTCAACTGTCTCTACCCACCTGCCCTTGCAGGGTCACGGGGGCAGACTGTTGCCTATCTCCAGCTGTCATTCAGCAAGAGGCGGGGTATCACAAGGCAATACAGAGACCCACAGGATAGACAACCATGCGCACACACACTCATGCCCTAAGGGCAATTTAGACAGAGCAACTAACCTAGCAGTCGGGTTTTTGGACTGTGGGAGGAAGCCGGAGCACCCAGAGAGAACTCATGTATGCCCGGGGAAAACTGGGAATCTCCATGCAGAAAGACCCCCAGAACCTTCTTGCTGCAAGGCATTAGTGCTACCAGCTGTCCTACAATGCTAGACTGAAATTCAAACCAGGTGAGAATAATTGACTTCGTGGCATTAGGTGTGTGAGGAATAGGCGTCTGTCTTCATATCTACAGAATAATACACAAGTTATTCACTTTTTCAAGTATTTTATTTACATTTTTTACTATTACTGCATTTTGTTTGGCTACTAGGCTGCTGGTGGCGCAGTTGGTAGCGCTACTGCCTTGCAGCAAGAAGGTCCTGGGTTCGACTCCTGGCTGGGGGTCTTTCTGCGTGGAGTTTGCATGATGTCCCCGTGCATGCATGGGTTCTCACCGGGTACTCCGGCTTCTTTTGACAGTCCAAAAACATGACTGTTAGGTTAATTGGTCTCTTTACATTGCCCTTAAGTGTGAATAGTGTGTTGGTTGTTTGTCCTGTATGTCTCTGTATTGCCCTGCGATGGACTGGCGAGCTGTCCAGGGTCTACCCCGCCTCTTGCCCATAGACTGCTCGAGATAAGCACCAGCTTCCTCGTGACCCACTATGGAAGAAGCGGTAGAAAATGACTGATTGACATTTTAAACTAATTTAATAATGTAGTATAGTGTAGGAGATATCTCACTTTCACCTGATGTGTTTATTCAAAGTAAACTTCTGAACATTTGCTGCTGCAAATAAACAAAATCTCAAAAACTAAAAAAGTACTATTAAAGAGGGATTGATTTTAATTAAGCATTTATTCCAAATTTAAAACAATAATATGCAACAACTGATCTTTAATTATTATTATCGTGCTAGTATAAATGAAACAGTTGCTTTAAGCTAAAACCCTGCTTTGCACCATACCAGTAACATCAGAGTTTAACTTCTTATAGCCACAAGAGGTCAGCAGTGCGGAGGATAATTGATCTTCTAATATAAGGAAGTTATCAACACACAGTGGTTCTTACATGTTCTTCTGTCCTTAATAAAATGATTGACCCAGCTCCATGCCATCACACCAGCTTTTATGTTTTCTGTGTAAATGCTGAAGTTTGTTTCTTCTGATGAGGAGGTTTCATGCATTTTTATATCTTCACCGTTTCCTTGGCTGGTTTGATGTGATGTGAATGACCCCCAATGTCTTTGGGTCACTCAAATGGCATATTAATTATTAATCTAAACCAGCATTTGATTATATTTAGGTTTAAAATTAAATGTTTTTATGTGTTTTGCATAACCACATTTAATGGGATAAAGCTGAAATTGGCTTGTACAAAAAAAAAAAACTCATTTTATTTTTAATTTCTAAAGTTTGTTTTCAAAGAATTTAGTAAGACATTGTTTAAAATAAGAAAACTGAGAAGGTACAGAGTTGGATTGTTTGGTTTGTCCAACTGAAAATATCCTAGAATTAATATATGTCTATCAATGTTTTAATATTTTTATAATAATTATGAACAGTTCTGAGAGATTTTTATAATGATAAGGCTCCATCTTAAAGACTGCCTGCTGTTTTTTTTTTATTGTAGTTACCCACTATGGTTGTTTTCTCCTTATTTTCTGATAGAACAGCTTGATGTTGTTTATCCAACTAGTCCTGAAAGATACAATTTCCATATTAAGGCAGTAATATTGCCATACCTGCCAATATCAAAATACCACTTGAACACACATGAAACGGTATGTTTATTGAGAGGCAGCTGAAGCACTTATAACGAACTGTCCAGACAGATATTAACACCAACTGCTTTAATTAATTATTGAAATGTTTTGCAGTCTTGTTAAATGATACTTCTAATATGTGTATAACTGGTCTGCTTTACATCCCATTTCTCTTTACTTAAAGACTATTTCCTGTCTACTCCCCCCACCACCACCCCCATCCAGCTGCTGCCTCAGAGGGATGACTGTAATGTAGAGAAGCACAGTTTTCCCAGTTGCGTCGTGTGGCTCGGACCGTTCTGAGGGACGCCACTAAGGGTTTGAGCCCCTCAAAAGCGAAACAGCTGAAATTAATGAAGAGCCCAACTGGAACTTGGACTTACAGAACTGCTGGAGAAAGCTTATTAGTTTTGGTCTTAATCTGGAAATTAATGACTGAACTTTTTTTACTCGTCCAGTGTGGAATGGCTGGATTCATGCAAACTGAAAAGTAAACCTCTGCTTTGGCTAAAAGAAAGCCAAAGAGGTGTGAGTGTTACCGCTAAATGCAGAAATAGGTTGAAATCTGAAGAGTTTGTCCAGTGTTTGTTTAGGTAAATGTTTCTGGATGTTTTTGGAAATGTTTGAGGAAAAGAAGGCACTCAGATCTCCACAGCAGAGCAACACCTCAAATGTTAACAGAAACGAAATCCAGAACTTCAAACCAGGAAAAACCAACACTGCCTCAACCAACGGCAACGTCATCCATCCTCCGCAGAGGTGAGAACTGAAACGTTTTTCTCAGTGCAAGAATGCATGTATGTGGCATGCTTTACTCAAGACTGTACAGTGGATTGTTGTTTGTGTGAACATTTAGTAGACCGAATCAGCTAACAAATACTAAACCGTCAAATAATAAAATAGAACTGTTGCAACAGTTTAATTTTGTCTTCATATAAAATTATTTAAAAAGCTGAAATGACTATTGATCTTGTTGTTATAGTGTATACTTTGTCAAAATAAGGTGAGATCTTTCCATGTAATCCATGCAGACATGCAGAAAAAACAATGTATGATTAGAAGTCCATGTAATCCATGACACAAAGGATGCCTGATTAAAAGTTAAAACCCATAATAAGTTACAGCAGAAATTGGGTTGATCTAATGTGTGAACTATGAAGTGCTTTATTCTGGAACTGAGAGAGCTGGGAAGGCCTGTAAGGAACAATATGTTATTTGTTTTATATCCAGCAGAAATATAAACAACAATATACAATAAAATGATGTATGATGATTTAAAGTATTCTTCACATGTATGAGTGAAATCAGTAGTATAAA